ATGTAGACCAGACTGGCCTTGAACTCACAGAGATCCGCCTGCCTCTGCCTCCCGAAGTTTGGGATCAAAGGCATGCACCACCACGCCCGGCCCAGGAGTTTTATTTTTAAAGTTAATAGTCACAACACTCTGATAGTTAGATCTTTTATAACTTTAAATTCACTGTGAAAAATTTTACATGGGGCCAGCAAGATGACTCAGCAGGTAAAGGCACTTGCTACCAAAGCTGATAACCTGAGTTTGATCCCTGAAACCGATGTGATAGAGGGAGAGAACCAACTCCCACAAAGTTGTCCTCTGACCTCCACATATGACCTGTGGCACATGTGCCCACACACATATACACAAAAATAAATTAAAAAAACAAACATAAACACATGTAACAACACAAACACAGACTTTTCATGTCAACTTAAAATTTGTGCGGGGATGCAAGGTTTGGTGACATTCTTCCTGGGCTGCAGGGCTATGTCCTGGCTTCGTCAAAATTCAGGCCAAGCAGCTGGAGCCAAGGAACAACCTTGCCCTATGGTGCTTCCAAACCTCAAGGAGGGGGTATTCTGGCTGTCTCTAGAACTGGAGGAGGTAGGAAAAGAGGGAAGGGGCCATCACCATAGTCTTGGTAAGAAAGGGATGGTGCCATCTGAAATAGTGGAGGGCAGCTGACTTGGGTGCTTTTCAGGGTACCTGTGGGAGTAAGTGAGGAAGATGCTGACTTGCTTTCGAATGGTTAGATTGGAATAATCCTTTTTATCTTTCCCCAACCTATCGCCCTCTCTTTCAGTATTATATTTTCAGAACTTAGACTGCTCAGCTTCCCAGGTTGCTTTGCCATGAGCAGCTCCATGTTTGTTAGCTTTGCGCACTGAGTGTGAAATGATGCTCTCTCAAAACACGGGTTCAGCATTTCACTCTCTGCTCCAGACACGTGAACCCTGCTGTGGACAGTAACTGCCATCTTTGGCCCAGGCACTGCACTGCTGTTGCTGAGCAGAGTGGAAGCATTTGCTTAAGTAATGATGGCTCTCTCACTGCAGGTCAGCAAGGTGAGGCTGGGAAAGGTGGCCTGAAGACTGAACAGCATTGTGCCTGCATCTTTCATCAAGCCAGACCCTTAAAGTCACACTGCCCTTTTTGTCACAGAAACTCTCCATGGTGTCATTTAATCTTTTTGTTGAAATGGCTAGAGAGACTTGTGTCTGTTGATAGGCTGGCCATAGTGTGAGGGGTGAAGGGCGATTGGGACATTGCTCAGGCACTCACTGGCATTGGTCTGAGCCCTCTACCTTTACAGGGCTTGAGTCTGAGCTGGCTGAGGGCTGAGGCAGGCAGATGCCCAGAGCTGGGGAACAAAAGACATGGGTGGGACTCAGGGCTCGTTGGCAGCTTAGGGTGAGGCTTTCAGCAAATTTGTGTGATATAAAATGCCTATAATAAAACTGGTCTACATTTTCTCTGTTCTTGCTCCCTAGCATGAAGGCATTCATTTATATTTTAGCTTCTGCAGTTTAAGATTTTCACTTTTTCTTTAAAGCTTTGATATGTTCTTATTGCTAGGATTTCTAATTTTCAACTATAGCACAGTGACTGAAGAAAAAAAGAAAAAAGACTGAACCATGCACAGTGGCACAGATAGGCCTGTAATCCCTGCATTGGGGAAGCAAGGCAGGAGGATGGCCACAAGTTAAAGGCCAGCCAAGACTATATCACAAAACCTTGCCTCAAAACAGTAGCAGCAGCATCAAAAAACTATTGTTTTGTGTTGTAGTTTTGCTTTTGGAAAGATGGTTTCTGTTATTTGAGTTTGCCACTGGAAGCTCTCAGACAGCAAGAACACTTTCAAAAGCCTGTTTCCCTAAAAAGATGGCAGACTATGGGGCTAGATCTGAAGATATCAAAGCCGGTGTGGCTTTCCTCTGGGGTTATATGCTCCCTGGCTCTTATCACCTTAGTCCTGTACTTGCCTTCTCTTTCTAGGAGGTCAGTGACTAGACCTGTGCACAGAATGCAGACATGACCACTTGCCTCAATTACTTGTGGCCTGGGGCTCTCTGATTGAGTCTTTCAGAGGACTCACATCTCACATGGGTCTGACTTGTCTGGGGGCTCCTCCTATCTTCAGAGCAGATCTGCTCCACATCTACAGAGCAGAGTGTTCTAGATCTTTGTCTCTCTGATATCCACCCCAACTCCCACCCCTTGAGATTTTCCAGGCCTGTTGTACGCCTTTGGCCAGGTGTGTGTTACATATAACAGGAACAGAACTTAAAGGCAATAATTTATTCTCAGGAACCCAAGACTTTCATGGTAAGATTTTTTTTTTTTTTTTTTTTTTTTTTTTTTTAATGTGGCTTAGAACCACCACAGAATATAATGTAATCAGGTCCTAAGATGTAGACCACTGGCCTTGAACTCACAGAGATCTGCTTGCCTCTGCCTCCCGAGTTCTGGGATTAAAGGTGTGCGCCACCATGCCCAGCGGTAAGATTTTTTTTTTTCAATGACTAAATCTAGCTTTAAAAGCTGGTCATGGTGGTAGTGCTTACCTATAATCCCAGGACTTAGAGGGCAGAGGCAGGAAGATCCACAGTTTGAGGGCAGCCTATACTACATGGTGAAGCCCTGTCTCAAAAATAATAGCAGGGACTAGGGTGATGGCTCAGTTGGTAAAGTACTTGACATGCAAGCATAAGGACTCAAGTTTAATTCCTCGCATCCACATATAAAGTCAGATGTACCGGAGTGTGGTGGCTCGTGCCTTTAATTCCAATACTTGGAAAGCAGAGGCAGGGACATCTCCATGAGATTGAGGCCAGCTTGGTTGACATAGTAAGTTCTCTAGGCTACCCAGGGTTACAGTGAGACCCTGTCTCAAAAAACCAAACAACAAAAAAAAGTCAGGTGTGGTAGTGTAGTAGTCCCAGCATTAGGTTGGGACCTCCAGGGCTTACTGGCAAGCCAGCCTAGCCTAATCAGCAGTGAGAGGTCTTCTCTCAAAAAACAAGGTATACAGCTCCTGAGAAATATCCTCCTCCACATACAAATAATGTTAGTTTTTAATTTTGTGTGGAGGAGGTTGTGTGTGGTGTATGCTTGTGTATATATGTGTGTATGTGAATGCTTGCTGAGACCACAAGAGGACATCAGATGACCTGCTCTGTCACTCTCCACTTTAGTCTCCTGAGACAGAGTCTCTCACTGAACCTGGAGTGCACTGTTTTTCTGGCAAGGCTGCTGGCTAGCAAGAGCCTATGGTCCTTCTGTCTCTATCCTCACCCCCCATAATACTGGAGTTACTGAAGTGCACAGCCACACCTGGCTTTTTACATGAATGCTGGAAATCCAGGTCTTCATGCTTCTGCAAGAAGCACTCTACCCACTGAGCCATCTCCCTAGCCCAGTAATGTTGACTTTTAAAATCCAACTTTAGAAATAAATTAGCCAATCAAATTATTTCTTAGACTGAGACTAGAGAAAGGAGGTCTGGGAGAGGGGAAGAACCCAGAACACCGCTGAACTACTGCACATATGATAGTAATTGGAATCTTGTTGCTGGGTCATTTTCATTGTTTTTTCAAGTATTGCCAAGTCCAAGAAAATGTCTGAAAACTAAATTATATCCCCTACATCCCACATCTGATTGAATCCTCCTCATCGCATTGCCATTTCATATATCCTATTAAAATATTCAATCTTGTTTTCTTACTTGAAGAGCCTGTCTGTAAAGGGCAAACTTACAGAAAACTCATTCCCTAGAGACAGGGTATCCAGCCACACTGGACCATTTACATAGTTTACTATGTGATTGGCTGCTTCTGCATTTCTTCTTCTCTTTTATTTGTGAATAAATGTTGTGAGATACCTGTTTTAATTACATGGCTGTGTTTTCAACTGAAGAAACAGATGAAGGTATTTCCCAATTTCTTGGTTTTTTTTTTTTTTTTTTTTTTTTTAAAGTCTTTTTGAGACAGGTCTCCCTGTAGCCCCAGCTGTCCTGGAACTCACTATGCAGACCAGGCTGGCCTTGAACTCACAGAGATCCGCCTGCCTCTGCCTCCCAAGTGCTGGGACTACAGATGTGCGCCACCATGCCCAGCTTCTTTGTTTCTTTTTAACCTTGAAGTTAGCTGATGTGTTAACAGGTTTGCTTTGTTTTCTAGGACCGAACTGTATCGATCTCTTTTCGGCCAGCTCAACCCTCCTGACAGAAGCCATGGGGACTGACATCATCGCTGTCCCTGTGCTGCAGGTCATGAGGCCAGCATGACTGACGGGTTCAGTTCCTGGAGAATCTGTGGGAAGGTGCTCTGTTGGGAACATGTGTGTAGTATGTGGGAAGGCACGGCATCTAAGTTCTTTAGCCATCACAAGGAGTATTGTCCAAGCCAGAGAGATGGCTCAGCAGTTAAGAGCACTGATTGCTCTCGCAGAGGACCTGAGTTTTGTTCCTAGCACCCATGTCAGATGGCTTGCAACCACCTGAAATTCCAGCTCCAAGGACTCCAACGTCCTCTTCTGGCATCCATTTCTTCTCCAACTCACACGTGCACATACCCAAACACATATACATAATTAAAAATAAAATACATCTTTTTTAAAAAAAAGTATTGTCACTGCCATTGCTACGTGTGGCTCTTGAGCAATATAGGGAAGTTGATTTGGAGCTGTTGCACAGTGACATGTTTGTTGGAAGGGTTTTATATTTCCTAGTTGAATGGCCTCCTCATACAATATAAAACCTTACATTTTCTTTATTCGTTCCATAATGGAAGCTTAGGTTGTTTCCACATTTGGACGGTTGCAAATGGTGCTGTGGTGGCTTCAGTTTTTTGAGGAGCCTCCATAATGGCTGTTCTAACTACTCTCTCCCAACAGTGTGCCAGGGCTCACTTTCCTCTGCTGCTTTGCCAACATCTATTGTCATTTATCATTGGTAAAAGCAATTTTACTAGATGATGAGACCTCAAGTGTGGTTTTAATTCGCATTTCCCTAGTGACTAGTGATGCCTAGTGTACTCCAGTGAACCTATTGGCCATGTCTTCTTTTGAAAACTTTCTGTCCATGTTCTTTGCCCTTTTTTAAAAATTAATTTTCTTGTTATTGAGTTGTTTGAATTTTGAATGTAGATGGATGGATAAAGACAACATGGTTAACGAACACACAGGAATTCTATTTGGCTGTAAGCAAAGAAGGGATTCTCCCATTTGCGATAGTGTGGATGAGTCTGGAGGATGTCATACTAAGGGAAGCAAGCCAGGCACAGAAAGACAATTGCCACACAGTCTCACTTTCTGGCAGAATCTATAAAAGTTAACCTCAGTAATGAAGAGTAGCATAGTGGTTACCAGTGGCTGGGAGGGAACAGCCAGGTTACAGGGTACAAAGAGTTGTGTAGACTGGAAGAGTGAGCTTTCAGATCTGCGTGGGTTAGAATAATGTGGGAAGTAAATTCCAAATGCCTCACTCTGAAAATGTTCACTGGAGTGACAGGTCTGATAAAGAGCTGAGTCAGTCATTCCACATTGTGAACATCTAGCACATCACCTGTTATACCATGAGTTTATACAGTTAAGATTTTTCAGTGAAAAATAACATTAATTTGGGGCCCAGGCTGTAGCTCAGTGGCACAGTGTAGCCTCAGTGTGGAGGCCCTCCATTCCATCTCCAGCTCTGAAAACAAAATACTGTTTTTTTTTAATTTAATCTTTTTTAAAAATTTTATGTGTATGTGTGTATTACGTGCATGTAGGTAAGTGCACCCGTGCCCTGCAGTGCCCTCAGAGGTCAGAAGAGGCTGTCAGATCCCCTGGGACTGGAGTTACAGACAGTTGTTAGCTGCCATGTGGGTGCTGGGATTTGAACCCAGGTCTCTGCAAGAATAACCATTGTTCTTAATCGCTGAGCCATCTCTCCAGCCTCTTTTTAAAAATATTTTTTTATTCTTATTTTATGTATACGAGTGTATTGCCTGTATGTATGTGAGGGCACCCGTGTAATGCAATGCTGCAGAGGTCATAAGAGGGCTTTGGATTCCCCTGGAACTGAAGTTAAGGACGGTTCGTAGCCACCATGTGGGTGCTGGGAATCAAACCCAGGTCCTCTGCAAGAGCAATCAGTGCTCTTAACCCCTGAGCCATCCCTCCAGCTTCAACAAAATACTAATTTTTAAAGAACTTCACAAAAGAAAGAATTCTGAGGCAGGATGCTGCTTTGGGTGGATGATCATTGGTTTGGTGAACCCCTGAGAGCACAGGTCCTCAAGACCAGAGGCTGGGCACTGAGACTGTATTGATTATTGGTTGCTAGATACCAATCCTGACTTCTCTCATTTCCTCTTTTTACTTACAAAGATTCCTCCAGGTCCCTTCCTACTCTCTCCATTCCTAAATCACTGTTGAGATGAGCTCTGATGTAAATCTAACAGGAGGAGATGATTCACTTGTTTTGTATTCAGAGGTCAAACGCAGGAAATTAAATCCCCGTAAGGGGGATTTATTGGTCTTCTGTGGTCAATATGCATTGGAGTTATCCTGCATAAGTAATGTGGACATCTCGGGCCAGTGCACAGCTGACCACCTCACTGGTCCTTTGCCCCAGTTTTTATTTCGAGCAGCGGAACAAGAGAAGAAACGGTGAATGCAGACAGCGGAGTGCAGATGTAATCAGTCATCTTTAAAGTCAGCTTTTGATATTGTTTCGTCAAAACGTCAAAACTCTGGCCATAGCGATGCAGGCCTTTACACCTGCCTTTAATCTCAGCACTCAGGAGGCAGAGGCAGGTGGATGTCTGTGAATTCCAGGCCAGCATGGTTTACATAGTGAGATGCTATCTCAAAAAAAAAAGGTCAAGACTCAGTGACAGTGACAGTTTTTGTACAGGACTCCCGCGTTGGGGCAATGTGCATCACAATTGAACTTTTGAGTTTTTCCATAGATGTGTCTGCCAAGCTCAGGATGGGTCTGTAGGAGGGAAGGGCCTCCTATAGTAATCCAAAAGATCATTCAGCAAGAATCAGTGAGTCCTTCACATGGGTCTTTTTCAAATGGTCCCTTTTGAAAACAGGGAACAAAGGCTGAAGAGAGGGCTCACCAGTTAAGATCACTGGCTGCTCTTGCAGAGGACTTGGGTTCAATTCCCAGCATCCCCGTGGTGGCTAACAACTGTCCTTAACTCTAGTTCCAAGGGAATCTGATGCCTTCTTCTGACTTTCACAGGCATTACACAACATGGGTGCACTTACATACATGCCGGCAATACACTCATACACATTAAAAAAAAGTGAATAAAATATTATAAAGAAAAAATTGGGAACAGTAAATATGGTCCACCTAGCCTGAGGCCTGCAGCCACTGCTTGAAAGGACAGTGAAGGACAGTGTGTGGAAGTGACTTCATAGTGAATTTCTGGGAAGCTGATGTAGACCAGAAAAGCAGGAGTTGCTCTGTCTGATGAGGAAGAAGGTTTAACCCCAAAGAGGAGACATGAAAAAGGAGCAGGGAGAAGTTTCACTAAAGGGCAACGCATATTTTAAAATGCAGAAGGCCACCTCCTTCCAGCGAAGAAATTAGAAACTATTTTAATTGACACAGATACTGCAATTCAACTGTTACTAGAAAGATTATAGTTGATTGATTTGCATTTTAATAAAACTAATACGTTACATTTTGGTGGCTAATGCTGATTTTTAAATGAGTTGGGTTATCAAGGATTTCAATCCCCAGCCTTTGTCAGTGGTGGCTAGAGCATTCCTCTCTTTGTGTGGGGTTTGCTCATCTTGTTTTTGCTCAGCTGACTGCTTCACACGGTACACTCATAAACCTTTGGCCTGGAAGATCTAGCACCATCCTTATAAACCATGGACCCTGAAGATCGACCAGGACACCCAGCTGGAGCTGCTTACCCAAGGCACCGCAGCATCTTGCCAGCCCAGGTCTGCACCACCAATGAACTGAGGAGGACAGGTTAGTTGACTCTCTGCAGGGCAGACAAAGTGGTGAGGCTGGTTTCTTGCCTTTATTTTTATCTTAAAAATTACAGAAAAGCAAAAAGAGTTTTAAAAGATACATCTGTAAACCCATCACCCAGAAATAATTGTTTCTCTAGCTAGGCAAAGTTGCTCAGGTCTGCGACCCCAGCCCTAGGGAGACCAAGGCAGGAGGATTGCAAGTTTGAGGCTAGATGTTATTTCAAAAATAAAGCTGGGTGTGGTGGTGCATGTCTTTAATTCTAGCACTTGGGAGGCAGAGAGATCTCTGAATTTGAGGCCAGCCTAGTCTACGCAGGTTCTAGGCCAGCCAGGGCTATGTAGAGAGATGCTGTCTCAATAATAATAATAATAATAATAATAGCAACAACAACAGAGAGCACTTCTCCATCCTCACCCATGGGTAGGCTCACTCCTACTAACAATGAGAGATGCAGTAAGCAGATCGGGTAGAACACTTGAGGTTTTTTTTCTCCTGTGCTGGACTCAAATCTAGGCCCTGGAGTGTGCTAGGCAGTGCTCCACCACTGAGCCGTACCCTCATCTCCAAGACGGTTTTTACTTGTGAGTTGTCTGAAAGTTTTTACTTGCACTTTTAAAGACAATAAACAAAATGGTCAAGAGGCTAGGGTATAGCTTATTGGTAGAGTGTGTGCTTAGCATGCATGAGGCCCTGGGCTCAATCTCTAGTACTGAAAAAGAAAACATTAAAAATCATAAAAGCAAAAACCCTGCAGCCGTGTCTACCACTCCACACCACATAATACACATGTAGCACCAAATAAAAACCAGTGAGGCATGGAGTCTACATTTTTTTGTGGGTACTGTAGTAAACGATTATTTCCATGTCTCTACACACATGTTTGAATTGCTCACTAATAATCCATTGGAGCATGAACTATTTAACCAAATCCCCTCTTGATGGACATTTAAATTCTTTCCAGGTTTTTCTTGTTACAAAGATACTACAGGGAAACATTTATTCATAAAACTTGTTTAGTTTTGAAACTTGTCATGTTTTAAGAATAAAGTGACCCAGGTGACAGAGTATCTTTAAGGCTCTTATGCATATCTTCAAGATGTGCCACCCGTGCCTAGGCAGGGCTGTGGGCAATGCAACCATAGTAATGGAAAGCAAAGGAGGCTGACCCTGGAGTTGGATCTGGGGATTACGTTTTGCTCCCCAGCCCCCTTGGGGATTGAAGACCAGCTGCCTGTAAGGTACTTTGCCATGGCAAAATGATGGGTAAATAGCAAGGGTTACTGTCTTCTCCCTGCCCAGCCCCCTCACCTTCCCTGAGGTTTCCAGATCCCTGTCATCCCTTTCCACAAAGCTGCCTCGGTGCCTCAGCCTGCAGATGGCCAAGTAGCTTTTGTCACCTGTGAACCCTGCACTTTGGGAAGCAGATGCAGGAGGATCAGAAGTTCAAGGCCAGCCTGGGCTACATGAGATCTTGTCTCAAAAAAATAGACTGAAACAGCTCTGCATAGCAATGGAAAGAGCATACAAAATGGGAGAAAAAAGCCGGGTGTGGTGGCGCATGCCTGAAGTCCCAGCACTCAGGAGGCAGAGGCAGGCAGATCTCTGTGAGTTCAAGGCCAGCCTGGTCTACATAGTGAGTTCCAGGACAGCTGGGGCTGCAGGGAGACCCTGTCTCAAAAAGACCCCCCCCCAAAAAAAATTTTGAAAAGGGAGGAAAAAGTATACAAATGGTTTATCTGATAGGATGATGAAATCTAGAATACATAAGGAGCAGTAATATGGTGTAATTAAAATTTTTTACATTTATTTATTGGGGGGGATGCCAGTGCATGTGTGTAGAGGTCAGAGGACAACTTGTGGGAGTCAGTTTTTCTCCTACCATTTGAGTTCTGGGGATAGAACTCACATTGTCAGGTTTGGTGGCAGGGCCTTTACCCATTGAGCCAGCACTAGCCACCTTGCTGTCTGATTTAAATGGTGAATAGCCACACCTGTAATCTCAACATTCAGGAGGCTGAGGTAGGAGAATCACAAGTTCCAGGCCAGTCTGAGCTACGCTAAGGGAGATTCTGTCTCAAAAATGAGTAAGTATAGGCTGGGGAGATGGCTCAGTGGTTAAGAGCATATACTGCTGCCCTTCCAGAGGACTCTCTGGTCCCTAGCACACATTGGGTGACTCACAGCTGCCT